TTGAGCCAGCCTGAGGGACTCTGTGACTTAGTGAGACCCTGTCCTCAAATAAAAAATAAAGAAAGGGCCAAGGATATAATTCAGAGTGAAGGCCTTGGGTTCAATGCCCAGCACTGGGGAAAAGGAAGGAAGGAAAAAAGGAAGGAAGGAGGGAAGGAAGGAAGGAAAAAAATCAAAGGGAAGAACCCACAGAAGCCAGTAGGATGAAAAAAGCAGGGGCGAGGTCTTCAGAGCTGCAGGCATGGGGACAACAGGGTGTGGGGTGAGTTTTTTGACAGAGGTTTAGTACGGCCGGCCGAGAGAAATCTATGTGGCTGGAGAGGATGAGCTGTCCTAGGTACAGCCCAGTCCCAGAGGCCTCCGTGTAACCAGGGATGCGACTCAGTTCTGCAGCTGTGGGGAGCCTCAGAGGGGCCTCAGAGGGGCTTCAGGTGGCATGGCTGGGTCGGTGGCCAGCTGCTCTGTGATGTCTGGAGAAGGGCTGAGCAATAGAGAAACAGGAAAGGCTGCTTCCTGTTTTAGTAGGTGTTCTATTCTGTCAGGTCTTGAATTTGTCCCTCATCAGCCACCAGGACCAGTAATAGAGCAGATGTGATTGAAATACACAGAGAATGTTTACATAAAGAAGTATTACAGTTAAAGACATCAGCTCCCTTAGGTACCGCCCCTTGCCTCAAGCACTCATCCCATTGCTCTTGCTACTTGCTGAAGTCCACTTTCCTGAGAGTCTTTGTGAGTTGTGAGCCCCAGTACTGCACGGGGACTGCTGCTGCCAAGGGCCACCTGAGGGAAAAGCGGGCTCATAAAAACATCTCAGTGTGTCCTCTTCTGCCTCAGGCAGTGAATCACCTACTTCTGGCTCTTTTCCAAAGTGGAAATGGCAGTGAAAGGCAAACCCTTTGAATCAGTCGGAGACATCAAGGCAGCCACAACACAGCTGGGTTTGGAGGCCCAAGGGGGACATTTCAGTGACGGTCAGGGACTCAGATGCCTTGCAGGCAGAATGGACTTTCCTCCACAGCCACCCTGTCCCTCCTCCTTGAACTGTGGTTTGGTGGGACTGAGGCATTGTCGGGCAGAGACCCCATCTCATTCACCTCCGAACACCTTGCTGGGGCCTAGGACTTGAGGTTCAATAACAAGCCTCCGATTCATCTAGTGAATGACTTCTTTTGAGGGTCCTAATTGTACCTTATGGTCTGAAATGGTTGATTTGAGGAAAATGAACAGCTGTCCTTTTTTTCTGGCTGAGATCTGGCTCCACGTGGCTACACTCAGAGACTGGGAACCTTCTGGAAGCCACAGGATGACTAGGTACACTGCAAGTAGCCTGTGTGACATTCTGCAAAGAGATGCTGGCCATATGGCGATTTTCAGTGGTGACAGAGAGGCCCTTCACAGTGAGGGCCATGCATACCATTCCACAGCAGCCCCACCCCGCCCCATCCCTCCTGCCCTGGACGTCTTCATCAAATGGGCTGGCAGATCCTGCCTGTCACATGAGTCCCTGCACCTGAAAGCTCACTGCGGGCTCCCCCATCCTGGAACTGGGCTGAGCAGGCCTCATCTCACCGGGGTGGAACCGCCCTAGGAATGCTCAAGGCCACTCTCCTGTCATCCCCAGTTCCCAGATGTAGAAAGTAAGACTCCTGGGACACAGTCCCCTGAGTCACTTGCCCAAGGTCACCGAGACTCAGTGAGGCCAAATAACTTTTCTAAAGTTGGCACACATACTCTTTAGAGGCAGAAATGCTTCTTGTCACCTACCTCCAGCCCTCCAGAGAGTGAGGTCAGGCTTGTTCCTCAGAGGAGCTGGACGAAGCGTCTGCTCTGTGCTGGGGTAGTGAGCATCTGTCCTGTGCCCCAGCCTCCAACATGTGAGCCAAGCACACAAGTCTCTGGCCTCACGGAGGTCCCATGCCTGTGGACTCAACCTGCTCACTATTTGCCATCCCACAGAATCAGCCCTAGCAACTGTGGGTGCTCGAGCTATTGTACCTCCCACCTTGAGCCCTGGAGCCTGTGACACACAAAGCTGTGATTTCTACGCCTCGCACTTCTCAGCTATTTTCAAAATGAGGCAAACAAGCCTGGAAGTCAGACTGTTGCAGGAGGAACTCATGGGTTGGCTTTTCATGCTCTGAGGCTTTGGCAAACAGTATTGATATAGGATGCTCATAAGAGGTCTGCAAAAGCTGCCTTTTTCATAGTCGCGTAGCAGGTGGCTTTGCCACATCCCTTGTTTTGGTATGAGTACGGCTTATACTAAGCCCCTGGGAGGGAAGGGCTGGCTCATTATCCCAGGCCCCAAAATTCTTAGTCTCTTGAGGAACTGGGTAAGGATCTAAAATAATGCTTGAGATCACAGGAATCATTTTATATCTTTTATTATATTGTACCAGCAATGTTAGTGATACTAAATAATCATTCCTGTGCATGTACGTGTGCAAGGCACTGGGTCAAGCACTCCATGCCCACTATCTCATTTTACCTGCACTGTGTTCTGCTTGTTCTTTCTGTTGTTTTCTTAACCCCATTCTACAGATGAGCAAACCAAGCCGTGGGGTCCTACAGTTAGCAGCCGTTCTCTAGTGGCTCAGCTAACATGTCCTGGAAACAGAGAGAAGAGGAACTGGGAGATCGCTCTGTGGTGCTCCTGTCCCCTCATTGCCTTCCCTAAGGACAGAGAGCATCGAGGTCTCCCTGGCCCCGAGTCCTCTGTCCAGGGCACACCCAGCTCTCCCCCTCTCTCTCATAGATCCCTGGGCACAGGGGATGCTGTTTTTGGAGGGGGGACCCTTTGGAGGAGTTCCTGCTGATAGATCTCGGGCAGACAACTGCTGAACTTTGGCAATGGCAGCTGACAAGCCGAAACCTGGAGCTGTGGCAACATATGGCACAGGGACATTATCTTAATTTCCTGGTTAGACTCATTCCATAAATTGTTTCCATCCTACTGTACACATAGTCAAGATGAACTGAGTCTGAGCAAGAGAAATGACAGGTTAACTCGCCTTTCATAACAAATGGAGTATTTCCTTGAACACTCTGTCATTAACATTTCAATTTATTCATGCTTTCTATTCCTGGCATCCTAATGGCAGTGTGGTCCAATTATATCTGCCCCACAGCCATCACACCTGATGTTGGTAAGTGCCTCTCCCACTGCCTCTGCCACGCCGGGGGTAGGGGAGGCCATTTGCTCTTCTAAAGCATTCTACCTATTTTTACACACAGGGTATTAAGCAGGGAAACAATGCCAGCAGCAAGAAAGTGGCGAGGAACTGGGTGAGGATCTAAGTTACGTCCCTCATGCTTGCCACCTTCCAGTCTCTGTTCCAAGCCTGTCACATGTGTGACCTTATTCAATTTGCAGTCTGTTACCATCGTCACATCTGTGTCTATACACGAGGCGCTGAGACGCAGATGTGAAGCTTTAACCTTGCAGTCTGGCCCCGCACAGGTCTCTCTGTGAGGTGCGCTGATCTGCATCCCTATGTTTCCTTCTCCTCTGTGACCTGGCCCTTGCACACCAGCCCAGGCTCTTGCTGGGTTGGATGTCTGGGTTAGAAAAGGTGAAGTGGTACATAGCATAGCACTGCTGCGGTGTGAAGGCACCCACCAAAACCACGCTGAAATTTTATCCTGATTGCAAGGTATTAAGAAGGAGGACAGGGATCTTTCAAGAGGTGGTTAGGTCATGAAGGTTCTGTTCTTGCGGGTGGATTAAGGGATGGATGGGGTATCTCAAGGGCAGTCTGTTATAAAAGCCAGTTGGCTCTGCACCTTCTATGTGCCCCTCTCACTGCGTGACACCCTGTGCTACGTCAGGACTCTCCAGTTTCCAGCAGTAAAGAAGTCCTCACCAGATGCAGCCCGCTGGCTTTGGACCTCTCATCCTCCATTACCCTAAAATGAATAAACCTTTATTCTTTATTCTTCATACGTACAGCAGTGTGTGTTATTCAGTAATAGCAACATAAAGTAGACTAAGACTTGCATGATTGAGTATACCTTTTCTCATCTTTGCTTTAAACACTGAAATTGCAGCTTTTGATTTATGAGTTAAGGCTTTCGAACTGTTAAGTTTTAAAGCACAGGAAGGTTTTGAATCTGAGAAGGTTTAAAAGCATTTTTTGAGGTCTTGGGGATTAAACTCAGGGCCTTTATCCTGAGTTACATCCTTAACTCTCTCTCTCTGTATCTCTGGCCCTGTCTGTCTCTCTCATCTGTCTTTCTATCTAAACTTTAAGACACAGTCTTGTCCACTTGCTAAGTTGCCCGGACTGGGCTTGAATTTGTGATGTCCCTGAAGCCAGGAGTGAGCTAGTCCTGAAACCTGAGATGTTTTCTGAGTTTATCAGTACTTAATCTGCGCATCAGTTTTCAAGTGGGTTTCTAGAAACCAGGCCTTAGTACTGCTCAGTGCATCTCCTGGTACTCACCACTCTGTACGTGGGCATGGCAGGAGCAGGGAGGTGTGCAAGCTGCCTGTGCAGTGCTAAAGCCTAGTAACCATGCCTGACCTTCAGGCCTACGTAGTGCAGAGATAGGCTATTCATGTGCAAGACAGAGAGGCTCAGAGGAATATTTTTATGTTAGAAAACAGGCTTTACCATCAAAGGAAATGCCCTCTTTAGTTCATTAAAAAATTACCACACAGCTTTCAAGTGAGAATAAAATTAATATTTTTAATGCTTGTTCATTGTTAATATTATGCCAATTACTGCATTACTTTCGGCTGATAAATATTCAGAGGATGAATGAAGCCCATAAGACGAATTAATTCTCTGAGAGTACAAACAAAACTTTCAATATTTTATATCGCATAATTAAATGCTGTTTGTTGTTCCCAGAGCCAGCAGAGCCAGAACTAGGGACATGCTAATTAATCGCTTTAGGAAGACAGTCCGACATGTGTCCTGGGTGAGACTCAGAATGGGACTGTTCATAGCCTGCACACGCCTGCTGATGGTTTATGCTTGCAGAATGACTCCTACCTGCAGAAGTCTGGGGGCACCATGCCATACACATCGATCCTGTCGCACAGCTCCAGCGCAATCGTCATGGTGAACCAGCCAGTGCTGAGCCACGTGTTGGAGATCTTCCTGGAAGGAGGTAAAGTCAGATGGCACCCACTACCTCCTGAAATCCCTTCCAGAGTTCGCCTGACCATGAACAGACACACAGACACAGACACAGACACAGACACAGACACAGACACAGACACAGACACAGACACAGACACAGACACAGACAGGAACACCCGCATCCTCTCTCTCTCTGTCTGTTTGATCAGTATCTGGACCCTCTTCACAGCCAGCTCTCCCACCAGTATCTCACTGTAACAAACTGCATAATGGTAGCCAATACACATGCTTCCTCATGGTGGATCTGGGATGTAGGGATATGGGAGCTCTATATCACCAAAAGAGATGACTAACATTTTTTCAGTGTTTAACTGTATGTTGTTATGGCTCAATTTCTTGATGATGACAATATTAATGTTGACAGTTCTGGAATACTTGGCTAACTATAAATTCTCCTTCTACCCCACACAAGCTAGATAATAAATTAATAATTTAAATATGACTAAACATGTAGATGTACCATCTATCTATAGCTACCAACCTATTTATCATGTGTCTATTGACCTGTTCACTGACTGTTTGATCTTAAAGTCAACACTTGCTTTCACGAACTAACACCAGTATCTTGACTGCACAACTTTCCTTCGAGGAATTGTGCTCATTTGAGAAAGTACTAATGACCCTATGAAACCGACTATGGAAAAATGCTTTTATTTTACTGAGTATTTGCTTTATTTTCCTTCAGAACATTCTGGGGCCTCTGAAAGTTTTTATTAGAAGCCAAAAGTGGATGAATTTAGGGCATCGATCTGAATATTCCACTATTCATTTATTTGCCCTTTTGGGATTCTGTCTTGAGCTCAACAATGTGCCAAGGCCCACGCTAACGGGGGAGACAGCATCCAGCTTTAATTTGACCCTGAGAGAACGACTTGCTGGCCAGTCTACCATGCTATGCTTCTGTGGATATTAATTTCAATTCTTCGGGGGCTGCTGCTTCTCCTTCTGTCAGTGCCCCTGGCATGCCTCATTACTCAGTTCCAAACACCTTATCCCCAAGGTCAGACTTCTGACTTCGCCCAGCCGTAGCCCAGCCCCATGAGGGCTGCACACCGCCGAGCTGTGGAAGGGCTCTGTGCTGGCCCTGCAGAGAACCCGCCTGGAGGACAGGGAGACTTTGTTAAGCCGTGTGCATTATTTCCATTTCACAGAAGGACACCATAAAAGAGTGTTTAAAAGAGTCTTTTGTCTCACCAGATTCCTGATGGGCATGGGTAATTTAGTCATCCCTATGCTCTGGCCCCCACTTTCTACCTCTTAAGTCCTTTTTGTTCAACTTTTGCATCCATTTCATTCCATCTGGAGCCAGTCACACCCCCTAAGCACATCTAGCAGCTCCTAAAGATGGGATACCAGGGGCACAACTCTTTTCTGCCTCGGCTGTCCACACCAGATGACCCCAGCCAGTTTCTGCTGATCTCTGACCCTGGACTGCCCACCTTTGAAGCAGGTGCAGGAAGCCATCCTTTGAGTGACCTGAGGACTCAATAAGAGCATGCCCAGGAAAAGCATCCTGTGTGCTGTGCAGATCATCAAGATCCTTCCTCCCCTCTTGGTTGTTAGGTTGAGCAGGCAAGTCAATAATTCACCCATTCCTTTGGGTGCCTTTTTAGTACCTAAGAAGAACTCCTTCCAATAGTGGGATCTTATGTGAGAGCCATCAGCAGCAGCCAGGGTGGTAAGTACCGAATTCGAAACCCTCCAGCTTCCATAGGCATCAGCAGTCTCTGTCCCCTCCCCTGAGTTATAGCCTGTCCTCCCTGCTGTGCTGTGACAACACAATGCCACTTATCCCTGATCAAAGAAGCCCAGGATGAGAAGGGTGCTCACTTCCATCCCCAGGATCCTAACTTGGAAATCACACCTGCATCCCCTAATGCTTTAAGAGCTGCTGGAAGTACCAGCTGGGGCTTTGTCCGGTGCCAAAGCCTGGTGCCAAAACCTCTCCCGAATTTCGGCTCTTTCATGTGATGCAGTGCAGCACACAAGCCACAGCCTAGAGGACAGGAGGATATGGATCTCCATAAAAAAGCTTTGCGGGTAAAAATGGGGGAGAATACAAAGTAGATGACTCAAGAAACTCAAGTGAAAAGTTCTTTAAAGACCCACTTAAAATTCCCCAGACTTCCTAAATAATAGCCTTTTGGGATCACATGCTATAGAAAAATACAACTTCTTTGTACTGTCTTTCCAAAGAGATTTCAACTCTTTCTCCAACAAAGGAATATCTACTGTTTTTATACTTAATCAGCTGTAATGAAAGAATATGAAGAGCTGTCATGTGCTTATTAGGGAAAATTATCAGATATTCTTTTATATGATGAAGTAACACACTGAGCTGATAATTCTATAGTGCACACTAAATTACAATTAAAGGCCTTTCTGCTCTACCAGAAACTCATTTATAATCTCTATGGAAATATTCTTCCTGCAGTTATTTCATTTATGCTTCCTTTATCTAATTACTATAATATTGGTTCTGAATCGTATTTTCCTAATGTACCCTTATTCAATTATAAAGTTATTTTCAAGTACAGTTACTTTCTAATATCAAAGAATACCACTTGGCCATCTATGTCATTTGTCATGCTTTTTAATTGCAGACTATTTATGAACTATTTTCCCCTTACTTTTAAGTAGAGTGAAACTTCTATAAATCAAAATCTACCGAGTTCCCCGCCTCTTCAAAATATTAGCCTGAAATGAATGTCCCAATCATGAGATCTGAAAATTAGATAGTCTACCCTGCATATATCTTCAGAGCATGCTACTGTTTGGGTTTCAAGACATGCAGGCATTGAGAAAATAGCACCGCAGCCTGAAAGTTTTGTGTTTCAAATGACAGAAATGGTTTTGTTCTGAAGGTATTGTTTTTGACTTGGTTTCTAGCTTGGAGCAAGCTTCGGGTTAAGCATACAGACACAGAAGAATATTGAATTAGTAATAGTTTTGTAAAGGTAGTTTCCAGCTAGGCACAGTAGCACATGCCTACGATCCCAGTACTCGGGAGGCTGGGGCAGGAGGATTGCTGTGCTGTGAGCTCCAGGGCAGCATGGGCTACATAGTGAATTCAAGGCCAGCCTGAACTACATAGTGAGACACTGCCTCAAAAAAAAATACAAAAACAAAACAAAACAACAACAATAGTTTCCTAAAATCTGGAGGCGGCACAAAGATGCTTGCAAGGATAATGGACTTTGGCACTGAGCTCTTCCGAGTGTTAAGTCCCCTGTGTGAGGACTGAGTGGCCCTGGAATGTGGGTGCCTGCAGAGAGGGCCAGGAGTCAACTGCGAGGCCATGGCACTCTTTTTCCCGCTGGAGCTGCCCATGAGGTGGGCATGGGTTGCAGAACTTCACTGGTCACAGTTCAGTGATGAGTGGGGGAGGTCTTGGTGTTCGACTGTCTCTTAAAGATGCTAAGTGGCTAAAAGGTGGGCTGACTTCATCTCCAAGTCACCTACTAACCTGTTTCCATAAGCAGATGAGGAGCAAGGTGGGGTTATCCTGCACCAGCATTTCGGGGATTCTTAAATGTAGCAGACATTAAAGAATCAAGGGCATTGTTTTATGGAAGAGATAGTTTCTACTTGTTTTGAAATTTCCAAGCAGTGACATTCAACTCTAAATAGCTTTCTCCCTCTTCATCCCTCATAAGGTGCTTTCCTGGTTAAGGAGCTCACAGAAGTGAGTGGCAGCTCTTTATGGGCAGAGTAAAGGGCACACGGTGGAGATCGGGTGGCTTGCAGTGGTGGTCAGGACCCTGGTGTGACTGTTGGCCAAGCTGACCTGCATCCACCAGGGCTCAGCAAAGGACCCATGGTGCCAAAGCAGCAGTGTCACCCTTCCTTTTCCAGACTGAAGCCTCACCCTGCAGCACCAGCCCTGGGTCCAATGTTATCCAGAGATTAAAAAGATAGTTCTTTCCACAAGAGGTCAAATAGAATTTTTATTTTTTGTTTTCTGAGGAATCTCTATATTGATTCTCCTATATAAGAAATCTAAGATATAAATAATTTAAAGAGTAAAATAAAGGAGAGATGATAAGAAATAGAGAGATAAACTTTTTGGAGATGGAAAGAAGATGAGGGAGTAGTGGAAGAGAAAGGGGAATAAAAATGACCCAGATGCCCTGTGTGTGTGTCCGTACCAATTCACTAAAGGAATGTACTCTGTATCACAAACATATTAAAAATGATAGTTCTTCCACACACAAAAAATTGGACCCTGGCTTTTGGTTTTTCTTTAAGATTGCTCTCTAATAATATGTTGCTCAAGCTGGCCAAATAATGGATTTGGCATTTTATATTCTTTATTCCACCTATCGTATCTCTTTAGTTTGAAGGTAAGAAATTGGCTCCACGACACTTAACATGGTACATTGCATCACTAAATGTCTGTTAGATATGAAAGTAACTGAGACATGTTTGAGAACAAAGGACATCTAACTGTTAGGACAGCCCAGCGATTGGTACTTCTGACCCCTGCCCATGCAGAAGGCCACCAAAGCCCTGGAAGGTTAGAAACTGGCCACGTCTACACAAGCAGAGCACGCTGGAGCCAGAGTTCCAGCCAGAAGCTGTGTGTTCACACCCACTGCACCTGCTGCGCTGCACGTCTCTGTCTTCGTTCCCCTGGGGTTTGGCTGGTTTGGGACCCTCATCTTGTCGAGATGACCCGTCCTCCTGGGGGTGAAGCCCCTGGGTTTTTCTCCAACTCCTGCTGGTCTCTCACATCTCATTCCTACGACCCAGAAGAGCACCTTCTTTGCTTGGATAAATACTCATTGGCCTGGCTGTCTGCCTCTGTTTACCTTTCTGACAAAGCCTTTTCCTTCTCTATAGCAGTAGCTTTTGAAGATCTTCAATTTATAGCAAAAATACATTTTACAGCATGACTGAAAGTATATACATACGTACACACACGGATGTATGGGTGTTTATTTCATTTTATTTTCTGAAGTATGTAATTCATTAGTCTTTACTATGGGCCTCGGGTTATAAAACTAGCACTACTGATTTGTGCTCCTTTTGCACCACTTAAACAGGACCTTTATTTACTTGTTATCTGAAATAAACGTGTCTGAAGTGGAACTTTGCCTTGCCTATCATGTGCAATGGATGCTGACGCTGCCTGTTCACCTCTGTTCCACTCCATCCTTCCCAGTACATTGGGAGGATGACCTTCCATGCCTCTTTACACTGGCTTCCATGTTTTCGTTAATAGTTTGGGAGCCACTGCCAGAGACCTTGCTACGGTGGAGCATCCTCTCCAATGATCTTCCACACACTGGCCCTGCAGGGTGAGCAATCAAAGTTACATTCATAGAGGGCAGGGTCTCATTTTTGACTATGTCCCCAGCACCAAGCACAGCGCAGAGCTAGTAGTAGGTACTCAATGCATGAATGAATGAATGTTTGCCTTTTGAAGGGCAAAGTAAACCCACATGCTCCTTTTTAGTAAGTATTCACAGGGGAAAATGATACACATTAAGGCTGCTATCAGGTGTGATATATGGTGAATGTTTACATTTTAAAAACATTGCCCTAGTAAAAGGCATCTTGTCATTAATCCCCTTCAAAAACTCCCCTCTGTTTGTAACACACTTATCCCGCCATTCTCACAATTTTCTGAAGCAGTTCTGCACATCCTCTTTCTAACAGTCTTTACAAGGCGTGATCCAAAATACAGCCAACGCTGCTGTAGAGTCCAGCCTACGTGAAGGCAGGCTGCTAAACACACCAGACAGCGTCCTTCCGTGTCACTCACAAGATCCAGTGCCCTGTGACTCCTGGCCCGTCCCCAAAGTCAAAATGACCAGGAAAGGTTAAGACGATCATGAAAGGGGAACATTTTGAATCCACTCAGGACATTGACTGGGCCACAGCAGCCCAACTAAAAGCTGCTTCAGGAGGTGGGAAGAAGGGCTGGATCGGCGCGTGCAAAGAGAGGGGGAGCACTTAGAGGGGATTAAAGGAAATGTGCCTTTTATTCTACTGCATTACAAAGAATTGAAATATTCACCCTATATGCCAACCACCTCTCTTACTAATGCAGAAGAGCAAGGCTGTAACAGAAGGGGCCCTGGGGACCCCGCGGGGCCCCATGCAGTGCAGGGTGGGGTGGGGGCTCCAACTCGAACCCTCCCAGCGCTGCGCTCTCAGCCATCAGCCCAGCCCGCGGCGCCCTGCTGCACCTGTCTTTGCCTGTCTCCCGCTTGAATAGCTCGTCGAACTGCAGCATCTTGTGGCGCGTGACCAGGAAGGCCTTCAGCCGCGGTAGCACCTGGCTCAGGAGCTGCAGGTTGTTGTAGACCTGGCCTTTGCCGTCGCGCCGCATGTAGCTGCTGGGGCCCCAGAAGATGAACACGGTGCCCTGGCTCACGTTAAGCAGGTCGTGGCGGTTGCGGAGGATGCGCTGGATGCTGGAATGCGCGATGACCCGCAGGCTGGTGCGGTTGCCCACGTCGTGCCCGTAGCCGCGGGTGGGGGCGTCGTTCATGCGGATGACACACTCAGTCCGGTCAATCTGCGGGCCTTGCCGGCTGCGCAACAGGTGTCCTGAACTCGTCACAAGGGCACAGTCCTTGCAGTGCATTTTCAGGGGCTAGAAGGCAGAGGAGAGGAGGAGGAGAAGGGGAGGGTCAGGAAAAAGGATCACCTGTCCCCTGGGCCCAGGGGGTTACTTCCAACCCCAAGTTAAGGGCCTCTGTCCCTCTTTCTGTCCCACTAAAGCTGTTGTACTTCATGGATCCCTACATTATTTTCTAAAGCAGTGACAGGAAACACTGGAGGAGAGAGAAAGACAGCTGACGCTGATTGCTGAACAATGGCTGGGGTCTTTGCTGTTCCTAGGTAACCATCTAGACACCTAACATCAAGGTTGTTTTATGGATAAAGTTGTTGGAGCTTAGAGACGCTAAGAAATCTGCCCCAGGATGAGTGGCTGGAGTGATGGCGTCACACTTCCAAAGCTAGGACTTTCTGAATCCAGTTTCCTGAATTAAAAGTCAGAACTATACAACAAATTGCCAGGACTCTGCTTTTGACCCTATCAATTCACCTCACGAGGGAAGCACCTATTAGTATACTGGATTCATTTTTAGCCCCAAGTAAGCATTATGGAAGAATCAGATGAGAAGAGGCTTGCAGACTGTAGCCTCTCAATGCCATAATTTTGAAGGAAGAATTGGGATTATTTCTCCCAGTTAGGGGCAGAGACAGGCTGCACTGGCCCATGTTCATAAATGTGAGGGCAGCCACAAGTTCAGAGCCATGGAGCACATCGAGGAAGTGCAGCCTGGTCCTCCCTTCCGTGCCTGGAGGGCGGTGGATGTGCCTGGTCACATGGGGTGAACCAAGGACAATGCAACCAGCAGGGCTCAGTTCAACCCCTTGAACCAAGGCTTTGCTTTCTGAACACCTACATTCTGACAAACAACATTCTCTTGTTCTTGTTTAACAAGAAATATCTCTTAGTGGCCACTAGAAGATAATGCAATGAGAGCTTGCAGCCAAAGCCAACAGGTACAAAAGAAAATGACAACCAAGTCATTCAGATGAAAAGTTGCACTGCTGATTCCCCCAGAGTCTCTGGCCTCCCTCTGTTAGCTCAGAACAGGTCACCCTGGTTCCCTGTGCAGCTTTCAGAAAGGCTGTCTCATGCAGCACTGCAGATATTCAGTTTGGTATTTCCTCCAGCAGCTTCCTGAGCCTGGGATCTGCAGAGGGCACCTGAGGGTGGTCACTTTCCCTCATTGCCTAAGACCATGGGCTCGGAGTCTTGTCTCTACCAGCAACTAATGGCTATGGAACCTTAGAAAGTTGCTCATCTTCACAAACCTAAGTTTGTGTATCTCTGAGGAAAAACAGCCTATTCTATCTCAGTAGAATGATCAAAATTAAGATACATGTTATATCAGATGAAGTCACCTGAAGCTGCCTCTGTTTGACCTGCAAACATAAGAAGCTGCATGGGGCTGAGCCCAATCCTTAGCCTGTGACCTGGCATAGTGATCATTTAATACATAGCAGGTGCTGTTAAGGTTTTAGATTAGTGTGGAACACACATCAAAAGTACTCACTGAACACCTTGCGTTTATAAGCTTGTGAAATCAAGAAAACTTGTCATTCTCATAACTAATGAATTGCAGAGGACAGGCACTGTGCTAGACAGTACAAATGCAGACAGGGGAAAATGGAAGGGTTTGAAGTTTGCATTTTAGTGAGGAATGGAGGGTCAGTGAAGGAGGGCACTAGAGAGGACAGGGCCTGAGAGGGGACTCTGATGGAGAATGAGCAATCAAAGTTGCTTTGAACACAACAAGGCTGGACATGTAAAAGTGTGGTTAAATAGCTAATATCTGCATGTACCAGCCACTCCCTGAGCTTTTTATATCACTGTATTAATCTCTCAAATATTTCCTTCAGGTAGATATTATCAGCCCTGTTTTACAAACTAGAATACTGAAGGATACAAAAGTGAAGCTATTTTCTCATACTCTTAGGAAGTGAGACACCTGGGATTTGACCCCAGGCCACGTGGCTTCAAACTGGTGGGATTAACCATTCTGCCAGCCTGATCCCACAGGATGAGTAGGGTGCTGTGGGAGGGCTGCTAACCTCATTGCACGCCCCCTTTCCTCCCTCCCTGGAGCCCACTGGTTGGGTGCAGGGGTGACAGAGCTCTTCTGTCCAATTCTCCCATCCCTTAGATTTACAGCACATTCATCCAACTGGAACTTTCTTCAGTCTGTGGCTAAAATGTGGCCAAGGCCTGTCCTTTGTCTGGAGGAAGAGCACTTTCTGGGTTCTCAGAAAGTGGCCCCTATTTCCACCAGGACATTGCTGGAAACTGGATCTAACTGGATCCCTTCTGAATCCTCAGGGTGAACCCCTGGGTGAGGGCCAATTTCAGTGCCCAAAGGGTAGAGGAGATACTTTCCTTCTCATTTTCCTGGTACATCCCGTGCATAAATATGATGAAGAGGAAGTTTAAATCAGTGGCAAAGTTCCTTTTATGTTCCAGGCACTGAACCTGCTGCTACAAAGGAAAGTTCAGGGAAACACTCCCTGCTCTAGGAGCGAAGTCTAGGTCGAATAAGCTCCCAGACAAACAGTTCAGGGCCACATAGTAAGTGTGGTTATAAATTAGCACATTGGGATGTGGGGCCAAAGATAAGGGAATACTAAAGCCTGTCCAGAAGAGTGAGAAAGATAGGCAGATGACTAGGGAGTATGCTGTGGAAACCAACCAACCATCGTTGATGTTCATGGCACCATAAACCGTGATGGAATAAGACTTGGAAAGTGTCCCTTGAATTTGATGACTTTGGATCACCATAGTCTCCACTGATGACACACACTAACTGTGGCTGAAAGTAAGGCAGTAGAGGCCAAAGATTGACTGAAAAAGGTTGATAGAGGGTTAATGGTGGAGAATGTCAGATCTCCAGGACTGACTAACACTTAAGGTGATCATCCAAGATGGGGTGTCGGGGTGGTCTGGGTTTTGGCATTGAAAATCCTGCATCCTGGGAAACTCCTTGGTCCCAGATAAGCCAGAATGGTTGCTACTAATGGAGAAGCCCATTAAAGTATTTCCATAGAAGTAATAAGAAGCATTTATAAATAGTTTGTTATTTAATAATGAGTAGGGTCAGAAGATAGAGAGTTGAAATCTGACATTTGCACAAATGAGGTAATTAACTTTGTTACATGTTTAATATACTTTACTGGTTTCAAACTAGATACTTATGGTGAGATGACATTGACTGATGGATTCACTCATTCAAAAGATCTTTCCAGAGCATTTAATTCATCCCCCGAGGTTCTATATGACCCAGTGCATTTTCTTTAAAAGGCTACACTGTAAGTTCATGCTAGGACCTAAGGCTGTGGAAACCTGGCTTTTGTCATTAGAATCACCTAGAATTATCCTGAGTTTTCCAGTTGATCATTTCCAGACCTGGTACTCACTGTTATTGGGGAAACAGTCCTTGGAAGGGCCTCAGGAGTGACTTTCTTCCTGTAATAAATTGCTCTGCTGAGATTTCATGAAGCAGGCTGGCTGGTGGGTAAAACACAGCTCAAGACCTTGTTCTCCTCTTTTCCCTGAAACACAGCCTTTCATGGGAGCTGAAAGTTCTCCACTGATCATATTATTCTGGCTCTCTGTGATCACTGGTCACTGTCGGAACACCCTGCACTCAATCTAGTCCCTCCACCAGGAGCTTGGTGCTTGTCATCTTGGCCACTAACACTGATTCTTTGAGTCATGCAGATGCCCAAGCAAAACTGAGATTAGAATCTGAATTTTGCCTGAAGACTTTTTGGTAAGTGCTGATAAGAATGTGATGATAGCAGTTTCAAACACAGGATTCTCTCTCCAGCAGCCGAGAGGAGCATGTACTGAAGGTGGGATCACTTCCAAAGGAGGAGATGAGTCCTTCTGCTGCATTCATAAGGACTAATGACATTTTGGAAGCAGAAGGACTTAAATTCGTACAACCCATGTGACCCTGTTTCTGAGGATTTGTCAGTCACCTGAACCTGCCACGTCCCTCCAGCTCTCAGTGCTATTAAGACTCCTTGGCATCATGAGTGAAAATATTCATGCCTTGGTGGGTTAAGATTCCTGATGCAGTATTTTCATGTTGTTCCCTTACGCCTGAGGACCCTGGGATGAGCAGTCACTAAAGAGGATAGGAATTTTAACCCCATGTTGATGAGGAGAACCTGGGGGAGGAGGTAGCTCCCAGAGGACTCCCCACCTAGCACGATCTCCCCTCCTCTCTACATTCCTCCTCCCAGATTCTTTGGGACATTTCCCCTAAGTCCCATTAAATGGAAGGAGCAGCTCCTTCTTTGCTAGAAAATGTCCTAGTAGGCCACTCCATTCTTCCCCGTAAAAAACGGGGATTAGTGCTTGATGGAGGGACCACAGCAGAGGTGTGAGTGAATTAAAACCAGCCTCTTGCTTTTCCTGTCCTCTAGGAAAATGAACTCCGAAGACAATGAGTGTCAATGTAATGTAATTTGTCTGCAAGCCCAGCTCTGGGTGTGGATGCTTTTGGGAGGAGGGAGACTGAGCTATGGAGACTTCTGTCCCAGAGAAAGAGGCTGTGGCCATTTACTTCAGGGCAACCTCTCAGCCCAGGAGCTGGAATGGCCAGAGGCCAGGGCACTGCCTGGAATTAATGGCTAGCTGGGAAAATGGCCCAGGACACAGTAAGGGCCATTAAGCCCAGCCAGTTATTAATCCCCAGTAAGCGCTTGATGCCAAGGTCATTAGAGCTGTTGTGAGGTGAAAAATGCACAGGAAAATCCACAGTGCATGAAGGAGCTACCCTCATTCCTGCCCCCAAGACTCAGCCACCATTCAACCACCCACAAGTGGGCAGGATGCTGCTTGGCAGGAAGCCAGCCAGCTGTGCAGGGCGCGCGCACACACACACACACACACACACACACACACACGGTGGGGGGGCACTTATTGGTTTGGTCAAACCTTTCACACTGCTACAATTTGTAAACATTTGTCTTTACCCCAGAACCTAAGGCAGTGGGGTTCGTGATTATTTTAGACTGTGTGAATGATTCTCTCTT